ACAGAAGCTGAACAAGGAAAGAGAGAAGCGCGGACGTGAAAGATAACGGCTCACCGCCGATCGATCGATTCGTCGAGGCTTTTGTTCGTCTACGAGGCCTGCTATCCGATTTAACTACGAATACTCGATGGAAAGAGGCGTATCGAGGCGTTCCGGTAAGAAGCGGCTTTTATCTCCCGGTTAAGCTAAAGTGCATGAAAGCGCCGCGCGAGAATTGGGGGAGGAAGATCTTAAGCGTGCAGACACACACGCTCAAAGTACTACATAGAAAAATCAGCGTAACTATATATATCACAAAACAAATATTTTTGTAGAAAGAAACTTGTTCCAGATTCCTCAAATTCAATAATTTAATATTAAAAAATGTGGATATTTAATGTTTTTATATTTTACAAAAAGTATGAAGTATATGAACGTGGTTATAAAAATTTGAAACTTTTGAGAAGAAAAACGCTGTAAAAGACATTTTGCAATATGATTTGTTGGAAAAAGAACCGTTCAAATATGTTAAAATAAATAGAAGCGTAAATGAAAAAAAAAAAAAAAAAATCTGACGTACGCAAGATACACTACAAATTTAATTTACTAGATATCGTCGCGTTTGGCGAGTATTCAGTATCTAAAAAAAATCGAAATTAATTCCGTCACGATGATATTTCCCTCCCTTCGACAGCGACGAGGAGGGGCGAGAAGTATAGAAAAATACCGCAGGGTGTAATGCGCGATTAAACGCTCATACAAATACGCATCTGTACGTATGGGGATGCGCAGTAGCGAGTATTCGTAGACACGACTGCAATAGCTATTGAACTATTACACGCTTAACTGGAATGAACTGACTGCAGTGGCGTGCCTTGCTGCTCTCGATGCGTGCGGTGTCACGACCTCAAGCGAGTAATCCCTATACGAATCCGAGAACACAGAGCGGTACAACTCTGTTTAACCCGTCAACGTTCATGCTACGAAAGCGCCAGAGCTCAGCTCAGATTAGAGTTATTTCTCCACCGCGTGATGATATCGCACGAATTAACACGTACGATTCACCAAAATATACATATACTCTCTAGAATAATTCATAAAATACAAGACTTGATAGTACGAAGGAATGAAAAGATGTTGTTCTACTATTATTTTTCAAATCCTTTCTACCCTGATAGAATTTTCATTAAAACATTATTGATTACGTTCCAAAGCAGATTTTTATTTTTGTCGTATAATTTAGCAATACACTTACTATTTATATCGAAGCAATAACGAAAGTTATAAATGAAAGTTGATGAAGACGTTAACACGTTATACATGTAAGATGTACTAGCGCCGTATGCGATATTTCATAAATATTTTAGGATAATTGCAGCGACAATTAAGAGATTTCTGTAAACTGAACGTGGAGTTAATTAATAGGTAGATTAAGACCGATTAAGATAATTTTCGTAACGATGCTCAAGCAGAGGAAATAAATTTGCCAAACATATAGCCGCTTGGAAGCATAACGCTTCCAGCCAGCGCAACGAGCGCGGTGTTTATCATTAATTAAGTGTTTCTTACGTCGACTGTAACTGCAAAGGCGAGAGGAAGAGTTCTCGGAAAGAGAGTCTTTCGCGGCACGCAGAAACCTATAACGAAGTTACGCCACTGTCGATGTTCGAAACGTTCGGGGGGGGGGGGGGGGGGGGTAGGGTGCGAGTGTCGCGCGGGGGTTGGTTATTTCACGGTCCACTCGCTCCACTCACACCCCTCAGAGGCGGCGGCGTCGGCGGCAGTCCCTTTCCCAAATCCACCCCTAAGAATTAATTCGAGAGAATCGTCCGGCGACCGACCGACAGCCACTCCTACCTTCTCGAGCGCCCTCGGTTCATCTTCTCTCCCTCCTCTCAGATCTGTCTTCTCTCCCGTCTTGGTCTTCTTTCGTATTCCCGTTCGCGTCGATTTAACTTCCTTCTGACTTCTGCTCCGATAACACCGTCGTTTCGACAGAAGATCCGACAAAAGAGTCGAGATAAGAACGAAGGAACGAGTAGATTTCAAAGTTCGCCCAAATTGCCTCTTTCTTATTCTGGATATAAAATTGATCGTTGTTGTTAGAAAATACGGTTAACATATTGTACTGAAATTTTTTTCTATCGAACCAGAATAAATGCGAGAAATTATTTTGCCTACTGACTGTCGTTCAAGTAGCCGGATACTTTCCTTTAATTTATAATAATCTATCAACAATGGGAAAATGTACATCTAAACGTTTCTCGTAGTTCCATATAAGTTAATACTCACCTTTAATTTTACTTAGAAGATATTCTTCCAACAAGGCTGCTCAGTTTCATTTTTAGTTCATTCGGTAGCAAAGGACTCCCGCGGTAATTAGTTTGAGCGTTTAAACAACATTTAACAAGTGTAAGAGTCACTTTGTCCTCTGTTAATGTAAAGAGATGCTTTTATCTTCAATTTCATAATTAAGACGCGCATAAGCACATGGTCAGCTCGCCGACGACGCGTGTCGCGCAGGCCGGCCGGGTAGTTTTCTAATTTGAGCATCAAAGCAAGGCGCGAGCAATTTTCCGTCAATTGAACGTGGCTGCCTCTGGAAGCCGCGAACAAGGCGGTGTTATACGCTCGGAATTACGCGTGGAAGAGCGCGGTGCGCGTTTTACGAAGACTCGTATCTCTCAAAGAAACGAGTAACGTACAACTAGCATCCGGCCGTCTAATGGTTCACTTCACTTAACGCGTCTTTTCATTTTCTTCCTCGCCGTAAGGTTTCCCCTTTATCTTCCGCAAAAAAGAAAAAAGAAAAAAAAAAAAGAGAAAATACTTCCCTCTCATGGCCCGAAATTAAACGGGCCGCGCCGTATCGAGAACGACGGACGAGCGATCGCCGCTCGTTAAGAACTGATAAAGAAAAGAGACGTAATCGGTGAGCTGCAAGGGAGAAAGTAGGAAAGCAATTACGATCCAAAGAATTAGAGAGATACGGAACAATTGGCTTTCAGCATCGTCTTAATTGAACTTGTGATTTTTTTTTTTTTTTTTTTTTTTCATAGAAACATTGCGTTAAGAAGCTGTAAAAATCCAAAGTGTTTGCGAAATTGAAAATCGTTGGACGACGATCAATCGATTTTCATTTCAATGTGCCGACGAATGTATTGTGAGAAATTGAAATTGAGTGGAGTTTAATTGTTGTTGAATTTGTTTAAATGAACAAGAAATGAATACTGTACTTGCATCTACTCGTGAAAAAGAATGATCTATAATGAATTTTTTAATATAAAATATGTTCTTTCAAATTGAAATCGCGCCGATATCGCATCGATATCGCTGATATCTGTATGATAGTCGTTGTAATGCAGTATTAGACAGTGGGATGAGATAAAATTTGTAACTTCACAGCGGAATTATTCCATGGCAAATACGAAACGTGAACAATACGTGAGATATCGTTGTTACAGCACGACGATTAGAGTGCGGTAAGCAAAATCAATCCTTTATCCTTGTACACGTATGAGGGATTATTTGTATCTATACACACTGGATGAAGGTTTTTACGAGCGTAACGTATGATTTTTATTTTACACAGGAACGATCACTACGTTCCGGATGTGCCTGATTTTTTGCGATCAGCACGAAACATGACTCACTAATTTTTCTCGAACAGTCGCAATCGTCGCACTCTCCCACTCATTCTCGCAATATTCATTTACATGCACGCACCTTACTGCTATATATATAAGAGCGTTTCTGATAAAATCTACTTCCCTTTAAGACAAGTTTCTCCCGTCGCTTAACCGCGGCGACAAATGGAGTATATTACAAAGGTGAGAAAACGACAAGGGCGCCGGTGTTCGTGTTACTCTACTTGTTAGGAGAAAAGTACCGAGGTTCCTTGTTTTTTTTTTTTACTGGATAAAAAAATGACTTGCGCCAGACTTCCGGACAATAATTTACGCCTCTGTTTAATTTTTACGAAACCAAACTCGCAAGCGAGAAGCAAGTGCAAATTGGAGAAGCGAAAGCAATCAAAACTTTTTAATGAAGTTCCGCCTTCTACCATTCCACCTTTTGTCAAATGTCGGGTTGCCTATCGAGAGACCAGTGCGTACGCTTTAAAAAGACGTCGTTCTCTTCACCATTAGTCCAAAGCTCGACGTTTGGAGGAAAATACGTATGGAATTTAAATGTTTGGCCGGTGTCGCGCCGGAATGATACGCTCGTTTTTCGAACGTCACCCTACGTAAACCGATTATGCTATCGAGTCGTTCCACGTGCGCAACGGGAAGGCAAAATATAACATTGGGGCCGCTTACGCGCTCCGATCCAACAAACGAAAACATTACACCCATGCCCAATTCAATACTTAATTAGGTTCCAACACAATTTTCTCTTTAAACTTATACATAGCGAATAAAAATTACTATCTCGATGCCAAAAATAGTATTCCATACTTGTATTTTGAAAGCAACATAAGTCCAGAAATGAAAACTGTCGAGATACAAACGCAAACGGTTATACCTTAATTATAAATGTTACTTTCAAGGTGGAATATAAGATTGAAAGAAATTCTTTTTTTCTCTTCACACTGTAATATACGTACATCTTTTTTCAGCCGTATCTGCAAGAATTATGAACTTATGCTATTTTCAAAATAGTCAATTTCACTTGTTATGTATAGCGACGAAAATATATACTATTTGATAAAAAAGAGAGAAAGAAACAATAACCAGAAGGAATGATCATCAGGAAAACTAACGAATTGTCGGCAACACGTTCAGAGATGACACTAATAACAGTCTAAGAATTTTGTTCTATACACATACACACACACACACACACATACATACATATATATATATATATATATATATATATATATATACATACACATACATATATATGAGAACGCGCAATCTGAGCTCCTGGTACTTTTCTTGCCACGGCCAGAAGTACTCACACAAACCCACCGTTTCCTTGCCGAGGACTACGAAGGCGAGGACGTTGATGCGGGGTATCATCGCCGAATTCGCTACGCGTGCGGATGCGTGTGCGGATGCGGATGAGACGAAAGAGCCAGGCCGGTGGAGGAAGGCGTAGAGGTCGGCGGCGGGCCTGACGCAGTCGCAGCAGGAGTCGCCGACAGATGATGGCCGAAGAAGGTCGGTCCGGTCGGCGGGTAAGGTGGGGCCGCTGGGTGGTAGTATCCGGGCGGCGGCGGCGGCACCGGCGGCGGCGGGTGGTGTACGTGAGCGTGCGGATGTGGATGCGCGTGCGAGTGCGGCAACGGGTGCTGATGAGGATGAGCGGCGAAGAGAAAGGCGGGTGCGTACGGCGACGGATGCGGCGGCGTCGTCGGCACGGTAGGACTGTTCACGTCCAGACCGGGGTTCTGCTTCTTCCACTTGGTCCGCCGGTTCTGGAACCAGATCTTCACCTGGGTCTCAGTCAGCTGCAGCTCGAGCGCCAGATTCAGACGTTCGCACACGGACAGGTATCTGGTCGTCTTGAACTTGTTCTCTAGCCTGACCAACTGCTCGTACGTGAAGGCTGTCCGCGCTCTTCTGGGTTTGCCGCTGGTATTACTGTTACTTCCGCCACCTCCGCCGCCGCCGCCGCCGCCGCCGCCGCCGCCACCACCGCCACCGCCGTTGCCGCCGCCACCGCCACCGCCAGTACCGTTTTGTCCGTTTTGACCCTGGCAATTTTGTACCTGAACGCCGCTCGACGATGTGGATGACGACGACGAGGATTGTCGTTTCTTGCAGTTCGATGCGGCCGTGTTGGTGCCGCCGCCGGTTGTATTTTCCCGTCCAGAATCCTGATCCACGACTCGCATTTCAATCTCCTCGTCCTCTTCTTCCTCCTCGGCGTCTTCTTCCATTTCCTCCATGATGGTATCCGGTGTACCTTCCTCATCCTCTTGGCCGCTGCCGCAGGCGAATTCGCCTCGCGAGTCGCCGTCTGAAAGTAATAACCACGGGATCATTTTTGTGGTACGTGGATGAGAGGTAACTACTAGGGAAGGGAGAAGCGATGATACGGGGTCGGTGTCAGATGACGAGGATTGATTATATACGAGGGGCAAAATTGCGGCGACAAAAAGACGTCGCGTTTCTCATTGTACGAGGTGGTGATTCTTACGGATTTCACAGAAATTCATTTCACTTGTACTCACGGATATTTCTTTTCTTCTTTAAAGAAATTTCGATTTACGATTAAAGATCAATTTCAAAAACTCACGAGAAATACAATTGCGAGAAGAATATAACGAAACAAGTAGCATGTTTTCAAATCGAAGACTTCTATTAATAGATATACATATATATTGTATATGTAATATGCAGATTGTTATAATTTGTATTGCGTATAGCAAATGTTAGCTTTTAATGACCGATTAATGACTCGTATGCACCTGTGTCGTTTACTGAACAGCGTTTAACCGTATTCCTATTTGTGATTGATTGCGAAACGATACGGCGCGATAGGAAGTATCGCTTCTTGCGTCTCGCGAAAGAACTGCGTAGCCGAGGCACCGATTGAGCCTGGGAGAACGGAACGATTTGAGCGCGAATCAGGGAGGAACAGAGAGAGAAGCGGGAAACGGAGAAAGAGAGAAACGGCCAATCGTTCGCTCAATGAGAGAGGAGATTGGAGATTCAATCAGCACGCAGATGTCCCGGGGACAGATATTCCCTGGCTCCGGTGTCCGTGGGGGTTGGGGTGCCCCTGGGATCCTGCGAGTGGGGATAGCCCGCCGAACAAAACCAGAGAGACGGAGAGAGGAAGAGAGAAAGAGAGAGAGAGAGAGAGAGTGACATAGAGACGATAGGCGGAAAGTGACGAGGATGGTATACGTCGGCGGTACGTTGAAGGCAGAGAGTAAGAGAGGCAAGAGGAAGACGGAGTAAGCGAGAGAAATCGAGAGAGAGAGAGAGAGAGAGAGAGAGAAAGCGACTCTTAGACAGTGGGACTTTATCCGAATTGGCGTGGCTCGTGGCCCATAGCCTACAGCCTAGCGCACAGTGCCTGGGGGTTGGAAGTCCGTAGGGGGCGACGGATCGAGAAGGTTTACGCCGTAATGGGATTTGTATCTCGTTAACGCGCGATCGTTCTTGCCCCGTCGTACAGGCCGCCAAGCGGCTACCTTTTCCCATCTCCCTATCTCTCTCCTCTCGATTCTCTTTGGCCTCCTTCCGCAGACTATACGGTTCTCGTATAACTCGACGGTCTCCACATCGAGATATACCTGGCCGGCGTCGATTGATTGCGTCTAATTGAATTGCGTAATTTATATTGTTTCTCCTTCTTCTCACTTCGACGCTCATCCGCCCGCTTCATCAAGGATTGCGTTCTGTTTTGTCAGCCGGAGCGTTTCGCGGTCTTTGATAATGTCAGATAGTATCCTTTCTTTTCAAAATCTCTCTCTCTCTCTCTCTCTCTCTTTCGTTTCTAATGTCAGTGTACTCTATCTAGCACGATAGAATTTCAATTAAGAAGGTGAGAATAATAGAAATGTGTAACGTAACTCTTAAAATTGTCAAGTTTTTAAATTAAAAAATATGAGCAGATTATCGAAATACATATTCAAAATGGAAATTGATTAATTAATCAACTGTCGTGGCTTTGAATTGCTTTAAATATAATTCGCGTTCAATTATTTTCACACAGAAGTCAGGTTTGATAAAAACTACTAATACTTTTATTGCAAAATGTTGTCTTAAATTGAAGACAGCATTTCGCTCTGTTCTAAAAAAACGAAATGTATATTTGTCAGCGTTAAATCTGGGAGAATGGTGAAACTGTGCTTTCTCGAGAGAAGCATCAGCTCATGTCATTTCGTCGCCTAGTATGACAGCTGCGACGACGTGAAATTAATTGAGTTCATCAGAAAATTAACGACTGCAGATAGCGTTTCTGTCACTGCGCGTTTTTATGGCGGTAGAATCGCCGGCCAGAGGACCATTCATATCATTTAGATCTTCTTCATTAACCACGATCAGGCGGGTTATGTGCGAGCGAAGCGATCGGGGATGTATGCCAAGTCCCCAAGGGATACGTTAAGGGTACACAAGGGGGAGTCGATCGCAGCGTGCTGCGACAAAGCAGCACAGACACGGGAATACTTATCTCATTTCGGTTTTCCTCATTAAACACAATGACAGTGTTTAACGACAAGTGGCACGATCGGGAAATACGCAATAAACAACATCCCTAACAGTTCCTGTCTCGTTATAGCGATGAATCCGCAATATATATGTTAGCGGATTTCTAATAACGTATAGTTAACACTTGAACGTAATTAATCTGAACGTAATTGTGCTGCGGTATTGTGTACAATAATATGAATACGTAACAGTACGTGATGTTTGTCGGATCTATAATAGAATCGATTAGAATGATATTTAAAAGCAGAGAAGTTTAATGAACGTTGCGTATATGATATTACACAGGGATTTCTTTCATTCGCGATAATGAATGTAGCGGCTGGGAGAAGCGATATATGTGATCAGCGATATCTCTTAGGATTTTCCGAAGCGTACGTAAGATAATTATAAATTTCGTTGAAATCTAGCGGAAGATCTCCCGGATCTCCGAATCACGAACGCAGTGCTCCGAGGGGTGACTTTCGTGGATGCTGCGACAACTAGCAGGGGCAAAGGGAGGGAGAGCACAAGTGAGAAAGAGAGAGATAGAGAGAAGTCATTGTGATGCAGAAGAGCCAATTTTCTGGGCGGCTTGGCGCGATGCTGCGCGATTATCATAACAACCGGCGATATTATTCCATTCGGCGGATCCGTGTGGCGGGCGGGGGGGGGGGGGGGGGGGGGGG